GAAACAACACAATCTGCAGCGACCCTTTAACATGGTTCATGTTCTAGAATTGGGAAACCTCGTTTGCGATAACACTGCATAAAATACCAATAACGATATTGGGTGGGGTTTTTTTAAAACAACAACAATACTTATACGACAATTCAAGAATTAAGAAACATGTAAAACAATAGAATTTGAACTCTTGGATAGCAACATAACAACAAGCTCAAGCGGTTGGTGAGCCAGTAGGCTAACCAAGTAATTTTCCTCCACCTTTCATGCCCAAAACACGCCTGCTTCTGTTCACCTTCCTGTGCAAAAGCTGGCATCCCGTGGGGGTGCACGTCTCATTCTCAACCGTCACATTCAAGCTTGCGAGAATAAAGGTCTTTGATACTACCCGTTTCTTCTTGAGTTTGCAAGAGTTAAAACTCCCTCCTTTGACATTCCTAATCCCCTCCCATTAAACCGTAAACTGCTATCTTTTTCAAGCAAAGAATTGAAGATTCCTTCATTATTTAATGAACTTGTAAGGTTGACCACTGTGCTGATGCCATGGCAGCAAAATCCGTAATATAGTTTAGAAGGCAGGCTGCTTCTACCCTGCACTCAAACAGAAAAACAAGGATACTCTGTAAAGAATCTACCCTAGACTGAACTGAACTCACACCTTTTGAATGCAAAAACGAAGTTGGGCAGTGCCTTGCCCATGCGCCACTGACACAAAAGGCACACCGGCGTGCAAATCATTAACCAACTTGCTCACACCAAAACCGCTTGTAGCCAGCAAAAATTAATAGCAAACACAAACACATCGATGTAACCCAAAAAATACAAAACGTCATGCACAATAGCAAATGCAACATCAAATCAGGTATGATTTTTAGAAATATCATTCCATTAAAAAAATTGACATGCAGTAACAAAGTCATACAGGTTAGCCGTAAAAATATGGTCATGTCATACTACAGGGAAAACTTTATATAAACAACTGGAAGCTCTTAGCTTTTCTCCGAACGTTGTTACTCAAATACAAGAATATACTGAAAGATGGAACACCACAATTGAAAGTAAAAAACGAATCGGAATTCGGTCACCAAGAATAGGTTCAAGGGTCTTCTTCGTCGTTGCTCCTTACGAGTTTTTGGAAATTTGTGTGGTAGACCAAAGTATTGTAAACCTTTGAATCTCAATCACTACTTTCCAATACAGAAATGACACGTAACCCAACACCACTGAAATGGGGTTTAGCACATTAACATTCGGGCTTACAATAGAACTGCACTCGAAAAAAAATCAGAACCGATCTGATAAATACGACTTGGGTTAAGGGTCAGTTCGAAAGAAAGCAAAACCAAACTTCCAAAAACCACCACAATTCAACACCAAACAAGGGAAACGACACCAATCAAATCATCACCATTACTAAAAGTGACAAAGAACGTGCAGTTGGAGGTACAGGGTGCCAGAAACACACGAGACCACCAGGCTCAGGGGGGAGAGGACGCGCTGTCGCATCCAGTGACGATGAACAACTAACTGAGGCTGTGACATGGGAGCTTGGGAAATACAGGGCGTTACGACAACCGGGACAGACACGTGGAGAAG